CTTTATATTGATGTGAGCCAGTTTCAAAGGTGTACCTTCCACTTACTTCACCCGGCTCACCTCCTGCCTTTGGCTCCACACCCTATGCTCCAGCAACACTGGACACTAACAACTATGTCCTCGAAGTACCACAGATGCCCATGCTCTTCTTTCTGGAGAGCTCCAGCCCAGTGTTTCCTTTGCCCTGCAAAAATCCTCCTCCACTAGTTCAGATGCACTCTGTGAAGCCATTTCCAACTCTGAGGTCCGAATTAACCGCTCCCTCCTTTCGACTCCTACCCCAAGGTGTCCCTCATTTAAGGCACTTCCACATCTGACCAGCAGTGAGCTTTGACTACATGTGCTCCCCACCCCTACCACCACATTATCAACAATTTGAGGTCAGGTGCCTTGTTTTACTCAATTGTAAATAGGGCCTCCCGGAGCACAGTACTTTTTAAATCGAACCATGACCATAAAGCAAGGTTCTCCATTTATTCTAACATTATATGTTTAATGATGACTTCAACATTATAGTTGCAGTTTTAATACAAACTTAAGTAGCTTTTAATTTTTTAGAAGAGTTATCAGGCAGGCAAATATGTTCAGTGATTTCTTATTCTCAGACGTTAAGTCTTACTGCTAATTTCATCCCCAAATTAATCCTTCCTGTCACAAAGGAAATACCTTTTATTTATAAAATTTGGGAACTAAGCTATGAAACATATAAGCTTATATATGATATATACATATTACACTATACATCTATTACACACATATTTTACATATATGTAAAGCATTCTCCAGTTTTACTAATCTTTAGTTACAAATCATAGGAGGGATAAGAATATTTATAGATTTATTAAATCTTATTTGGCAAATAAATAAATAATAAATCTCATTTGGGAATTGCTAAAATAGAACACGTTCCCGTATTTCCCTCCTAAATAACAAAAACAAACCAGTAAAATGTAATTTAGTCAATACATGGAATTCAATGAAAGATTTAAGTATTCTTACAATCCACCAGAGAATATAAATATGAAAGAAAATGTTATTTTAAGTCAACCAAATACGTATTTTTCAGTAAACCTGTATATGTAAGAACATTTTAGCATAGAAGACTTTTCTAGGAAAATCTTTTAAGTTCAAAAGGCACAAAAATTAATCAACTGTCTATCAAAATTTAAGTTTAACAAATTCCTTAAACACAAGAATTTGAAAGGAACAAGACAGGGGCTATTTCAATATGAGGCTACATGGCAGTCAACCTTCCGGAACACTGCCCTCCGTCTCTGACACACACACACCACATAGAAAACCTACAACAACGAGAAACTGAGTCATAAGGTAGCCAAGTCAACAACCTGATGACCATCAGAAAGAATGTCTTCTTTTTCCAAGAGGTCTAAGTTAAACAAAAATTAGCAACAAGTACAGAAAGCTAAGACACTGTAGCTTTATGACAAGGGAAGATATGAGGCCTCCGGGCACCACAAAAAATGGTTTCCGTGGCCCCGAGACACTTGTCAAGCCTTTGCTCACAGCAGCAGACAACTACCCTCCCTCCAGAATACTCAGCTCCTGCCAGGCTAGCTCAGGAACCAGTTGCCCCCACATGCAGGACAGGGCAGGAACATCAGGATTTTAAAGGAGCAGGCTGGAGGGCGCCTGGGTGGCTCAGTTGGTTAAAGCGACTGCCTTCGGCTCAGGTCATGATCCTGGAGTCCCCGGATCGAGTCCCACATCGGGCTCCCTGCTCAGCAGGGAGTCTGCTTCTCCCTCTGACCCTCTTCCCTCTCGTGCTCTCTATCTCTCTCATTCTCTGTCTCTCAAATAAATAAAATCTTTAAAAAAAAAAATAAATAAAGGAGCAGGCTGGGAATGCCTATTGATCATCTCCTACACGGCTTTCTCAGGGGGGACTTAAAAGACAGCAGGTTTGCTGTGGACCACTCCAAAAATCTGACTTCCTTGCTGTTACAATCGTCATTAAGATGGCAAAGCAGCTATGTTCCACTTGTATCACGTGGCCCCCAGTTCCTGTCTGCCACTGGGAGTATGCCTGAGATTACCCTGTTTTGTAGCTCGGATGACACCATGCAGGTGAAATCACGCTGAACTACTAATTTCCACCACGTCAGCCACAGGCGCCACTGGAGATCAATGGGACGGACCCATCATCAAAGGAGGCTTAAACGCTGAGCCAACCAGGGTACTTGCTGTGTGCTGCTTACCAGGCACAACCTTGCAAAGCGGATGGAACATTTTCCTCACCTACAGCACTTCCCCAAATCCTACAGTCACGCAGTCACACACCTGCTGCCTTCCAACATCATAGAAACTGTGACCAAAATGGGAAAATGACACATCTTGTCAGCACAGCCACCTTTCACAAATGCTTCCACCAGTGGCTCACAGACGGCTCCCCCAGCAAGGGCCCCCTCACAGCCCCTCGGCCACCGGCCGCACACGCCAAGTCTCAACCCACCCACAGAAGGCTCTGAAGGTACTCGGACCATGGGGCGCACATGCTGGTACTCCTCGGTAGTCACCTGGGGACACCGCTTGGGTCGACAACAAGTATTCCTGGAGGGGGACAGTTTCCAAAGGCAGCCAGCAGACTGGCTTCTGTCATGGGCGCCTGGTCCCCCACAACAGCCACGTCAAGTCGGGGCTGCTGGAGACATCTGTGATGGACTAACCCGGTGAGAAAACCCTGGGGGAGTGGGTCCCTGTAGGGAGAGGAGGAGAGCAGGCAATCTGTGCCCCCTGCCCTGGGAAGGTGTTGGGAAGCCTTTGAGGCCGCTCGGGCTCTGCAAGCTCACACACACGCACACGCACACGCACACGCACACGCACACACACACACCCACCACCATCTGGTCAGCAGCTCACACACCCGGCTCCCGTGGAGGCTGCCTGGGCTACGGAGTGCTGGGGACTTACAGCACAAGACCTCGCATGGAGCTGCTCTCAAACTCCACCAACCTCCCAAATCCTTGCTGCTGTGCAGCCTGGCCCCTAGCAGGGAACAGCGCGTTCCACCAAAGGGCAAGGGCCGGCGAGCGGTCTCCGGCGTGCTGGGTCTCAGGTGAGAGATGCCCAGCGAAGCAGCCAGAGGCCGGCCGGCACAACTCCCGAGGTCCCTCTTCCTGGCAGGCCAGGGTCAGACCCAGACCCCGTCACTGACCTTCCACTGTTCCTCCCTCGGAGGAGGACCAATCAGACTCGCAAATGGCCCCATTTTGAAATTTTACATCACAAAACCATGAAAGCAAAACGAACGCGGCGTCCCCCAAAGTCCATTGTTGGGGAAATACCTGTATTTCTGTGCCATTTATCTTTCAAATTTGGCTTTTTCCAGGCTTCAGCTAGCCTTAACAAACAAAAGTGACCTGAAGCTGGCAGCAATTTCCATTTCAGCTAGAAAAGACTGACACCCAAGTCAAAAACCTGGCTGCTTCCCCAGTGCTTTCAAATATCAGGACCTTGTTCTGCCTCACTTAGCTGCTACCCAAGTGCTGCTGAGGACTTAGGGCATAATAAGGAATATTTTAAATAACCTTTATCTTTCCATTTCCACACAAGTAACTGTTCTATTTACCACCTGAGTCCCTTAAAATTACACCAAGCCTTCTGTACCAAAAAAAAACAAAAACCAAAAACCAAAAACCAAAAACGAAAAACACCTTACACCAGAGTCCACCTTTATAAAGGTTAGAAATGTTCTTTAACATCTGCCAACAACAAAACAACGGAAAGTCTTTTTCCTTGTGAAACTCTGAACATACTTGTGTCGTTAAAGCAAAAGAAAAAGTCCAAAAGAATTTGGGATGGAGGACCAACAGAAATATCATTTAATTTTTTTAATGTTTCATTTTTGCTTAGTTTAAGCCATTTGAAATACGATGAAGAAACCAGCTCTGTGGTTCCCAAACCCTGGTTTGAAGACACCTCGAGGGCAACAAGCTTCAATTTCACCTGGGTCGCTAGTTCAAAAACACAACTCTCCAAGCCCCACCCCCAGAGACTCTGACTCAGAAAATCCAGGGTGGGGCCTAGGAATCTGTAGCATTTCAAAGTACCCCAAACAGAGCAGAGATAAATGTAAAAAAACAACTACTAAGTACGTGGGGGTTTTAATGCTGGTGTTTTGTCTTAAACTAGTCTCCGCATAATCCTAAAAAAAAATCACCAGGGCCTGCTGTAAAGTCCTGTGGCCCAGATCTCGCCCCAGATCCCATGGGGATCTAGGGTAAGGCCCAGTTGTTCAAGAGCATTCCACGTAAATTTGGAGAACAAATTTAGGGTAGGAATCACACTTTTAACAGAAACTAACTGAGATCCTCACAAAGCCCTGGCATCCCTATCCTTAGGGGCATGAATTACTCACAAACCTCACAAACCGAACTGCTCCCAGGCTTGTGGCAAGGCTGAAATAAGCCGGGGTACCATGAAGATGCGTTAGAAGGCAAGGCCCCCAGCAAGAGGCCAGCAGGTAAAGGAAGATCAGTGAATACAGCAGCACAGAACACATTATGATGAGCTTTGCTTTTTTAAATGATTTTTTAAAAAGGAAGGAAGAGGAGAAGAGAAGGGAAAAAAGATGGGGTCGCTATGATAAGCAAAAGCAATTTAAAGGCCACGGTCACAGAGATGTATAAAACCTCTGAGTTCATAGTTCTCCTGATCTACATCAGAAATACATATATATAGCTGCTCAGACAGAAACCGGGAAATAAAACAACTTCAAGCACTTCAAACCAAACCTTGCTTTTACTTGGGTTAATTTAACCATAAAAAAATGATATAGATCTTAATTAAGAGTTTGTAAAGTACTTAAGTTTGTCATTTTGTTGACATTCAAATGTAATCTCCTCTGAAAACTATTCTTAGGTATCAGCTAACTAAACTGTTGGTTTAGATTATTGTACTACCAGATAAGATAAAATTTGAGATAATATACTAAAGAGCAACCTACTAGCTTAGAAAAGAGTCTATGCTGCTTTAACACTTACCCCTGAGGCTGTTGGTTGTGTTGTAGGGGAAGTATTTTTGCTGCAATCATCTGAGTTAGAAGAGGTGGAAGTTGGAGTCATAGGAACAGAATTATTGCTACTACCTGCAACAGTCAAAATTAACCTCATAAATATACACATACTCTACTCTTACAGTTGGCCAATACTTTACAATTAAATAGCATTCTATTGTATTTACCAGAGCAAGCCTTTGACTTATTTATGTTCTTAGGTTTTCTTTTCCTGGTTTGAATTCCCTCTTTTTTCATAGCAAGCGGTCGAGGCACCTAGAAAAATTTTCATATAGGCCTTAAGTTTAATAAATAAATACTGTATTGAAGAGAAACCCAACTTCAACCGAAGAACTCAACATCAAGTACTGAAAGCCCTCAAGTTGGCATAAATTTCAGTCCAATTTTTATACATGCTCAATAGATCCCAACCTATACAAAGACTACACTTTCCCCCATCAAATGCAAATTCCTTCAGAGATAATGAGATGACTTGCCAGGGAAAAATAAACAACTTCAGTTATAGAGTAAAACCACGGGGTACATATTTTTATTTCAAAGAGATTGTGTATTCTCTTCCTCCTACACATACAAGGTTAATTTCCTTTTTAAGATTGATGTGCTTCTAACATTTCATGCTATCCTTCAAATGAAGGACAGAATGTTGCTAAATATAACTACCAAATATATTATTGCTCCTTTGCATAAATGGACTTGATTGCACTAAAAAAATTTAAAGTTTAAGATATAAACTAGTTGTGTGCATTTCTAGTTGGTTCCATGCTTTTTTTTCCCTTTGAGTATACAGTTTAAAAAAAAAGGTTACTAGGTTACTACTACATTAGATTCTAAAATGCACATTTTTCACCTTTTAGTATTTCTAAAATTACTGAAATTTAGTATTTCTAAAATTCTTACCATGGATGTGCGTGACAGTTTAACTGGCAGCATTTTTTGTTTCTTACCGGTATGTAAGGTAATCGTTTACATTATAACAACATCCTCAATTCAATAACGTGCATAGAAAACATCAGATTCTTCACTTTCATCCCCTCTCCCTGGCTGATTTTTTTTAAACAGATACCAGGTACAAATGAGAGACTAAACACGTATAAACATGAGCAAAACAGGTGGCGCACCCCATGGAGTTTCATGTAGAGTCCACAAGCATTGCACACAGGTTCACCCTCGGCATTTCTGCGCCACAAAGTGGTGGTTGTGGTGTGACAGTTGGCACAGGACAATCCAAGCCGCCGGGAGGAAGGCTAAAAAGTAGCACAAGAAAAGTAAGTGTACAGATGTAAGTGACTATCTGCTACATACATCAATCAATGTATCCTTTCCTTGCCGTCAACAAGCATGGACCTTTTATTATAAAAAAAATAAAAGGTCCCCTGAGAAAAAAATGTAAACTATAATTAGATTGACCTTCCTGAACCAAGACACTGAAGTTTCACATAGGGTGCTCCATCCCACATGTATGTTTGGGTTGCTCCAGCATATTCATGCAGATTATAGAATAATCGGGAATGAGTCACAACGTTGGCCAATAACTGTGCTCACTGTTGTGAGAGGAAATATAAGAGTCAAGAAACTCAATCACAACCCCCCCACCCTGGAAGCCAGAGATAATCAGGTGTGCAGAGGAATAATCCAAAAACTGTAGAAAAGCAGACAAGTAGATAGATGACAGATTGATAGATGATAGATAGAAACAGATCTTGTAAAATATACAAAATTTTTATAAAGAAAAATGTATTCTGATACATCTCAATTATCATGGTTCCCTGCCGCCTGAGTTTTTGTATTATTCATTTTACAAAGGATAAGCAAATTTTATGGCACTGTTTTAATGCTGGCGTTGTCTTACAGACACATCAGTGATAAGGATATATTTTCTTTACCCTGTTAGTACAGTACCCAACTTTTGTTCATACAAAGGATTAAATGATATTATCAGAAAAGGCACTGTCATTCTGATTTCCATGTTCTTTTATGCCCATCACATCCTCAGAAGAAATTTATCTCATCTGAATTATTATGTGTGCATTATAAAGCAGAGTTTAAGCTAGTACTGTTAAGTTCCTCCCCCAAATGCCAAAATCTAAATTTGTTTTTAAATTACCTAGACAGGCAACTAAAAAACAGCACCATGACTTCAGTAAAAAAGCTGTGAGGGAAAATCCAAGGACCAAAATAAATTGAAAGATTTTGACAGAATTTGGGAAGTTAGTTACACCGATTATTTTCAGAATAGTTTTAAAGAATGTAAAACAAAAACAGGAACTGAGGGTGTACTGAATATTGAAAGAATTTAGGAAGTTAGTTACACCAATTAATTTCAGAAAAGAATAGTTTTAAAGAATGTAAAACAAAAATGGGAATTGAGGGTGTACTGAATATTCACAGGTTAAAGGACAGATTTATCAAACCCTTTGCTGACATTTAAAATATAAAATTGAATTTTGCGTTTACAATTCACATCCTATTCTACTACTGTACTATTCTTTACAGACAAATCATAAAAACAAAGAGACACTGGAGGTTGTCTTAGTTTTCTTAGTCAATGCTAAGAAAAAATCGATTTCACTTGGCTGAAATGAACATGCTTGGCTCACAGGCAAACCATTTGCGGGATTGTTTTTGTTAAAATGATAAAAACATGTAAAACCTTACACATCGGGATTTGTTTGTTTCTTTTTCCTTTTATGGAAAAAATAATTTTCCTAGGAGAGCACCCCTTTCTCTTCATAAATGTGAAATCAGTTAACTAGGGGACAAGAAGGTTCATTTTATAAACAGGTCATTTATGACAGTTTCCAGTGGAATTTGAAGCCAATGTGAAGTAACCTTGTTATCAGAATTTGCCATTATAACAAAGAACTTTATGACTGTCAACTGCAAATCATAAGTGAAGCCAGTCTCCATAAACATGAGAAATGAAGGTGAATGGGTTATAAAAGTTCCTTGTAACAAGTGATCTCAGTTATATTCATCACTGACAAGGAATTCAAGTTACACCATAAATCTCTTATTTTGCAATGTATTACAAGTTCAAATTCACAGTGATTGGTTCTGGACTGCTGGCTAAACAAACTTGGGTTCAACATTCTGAGAACTAAGCTAGATCCATCAAAACCATAAATAAGAAGCCCACAAGAACTAATTGATGAACACGCCCTTCAATTGGTATCATTTATAACCCATTTACAAAGCACAATGGCTGACCTTGGTTGGTCACCGCCAAGACACCTGCCACACAGAAGGAAAACCAACAGATTAAGAGATGTTAAAACTTTTCTGGTAAGTGCACAAAACAAATGGCACTATCTAAATATGGATGTTTCTAGATCAAATTCAGAATGCAACTAGAACCTAATCAGCTACTCTTCTACCAGTTTTTCCCTCAATCTCAAGAAAAGGTTACCTTGCTGAACTCAGCTAGAACTCAGCTCAATGTACCTTTCCAAAAAAAAAAAAAAAAAAAAAAAAACCAGTTTCACTGTTCAGACACGAGAACAAAACTTCTCGGAATATTTTCTGGCCACTACTTTTTCTTTTCTTAATATGATACATAAGAAATGAAAACCATAGGGAATCAGATACTCAAGTGAAGGGGGATGCCCTTTGAAGACAATTTTAAGCTGGAGGTTGTAACAAGTTTGCTGGAGGTTGTAACAAGTTTAAGGCACATACATTAAATTAGCCTCAGCCACTTTATTTTAAATGCATTAAAAACAAAACAACCATAAAACTAATTGCTTCTCTTTAAGGTGTCAGACTTCCATTGTGATGCAATATCACCCTAATCTATTTTAACACAAACAACATGTGTAGCATTTGTTCTTGCTAATTAGAGTATAACAATTAAATAAATTACTTGGATACTTAAGATGTCTGGCATCTCACTGTAAAATATTTTACTTTAAAAGGTATTAAGAGTATGAGTGCTTGGTTAAACAATGTTAACCCTACAGTGGGACCTGTGAACATTTTCATTTATTTTCTCTAATCACTACAGCAGTAAATTGCCCCCTCCTAAAACCATACCTAACTCTTAAGATTTATCCCTGAAGAAATTCCCATAATTTAAAACACAGTAAAAGCGTTTGGATTCCAACTTGAGAAGCTCGTTAAGACTGCTTCCCCCCCCCCAGCCCCGCTCAAGTTCTATGTAGTATTCTGAACAGCTAGATTTCAAAATAACAAAGGTTAGAGTAAATTTTCATCAAACTCAAAGACAATCCAAAAGACGGATGGAATTTGGGGCTAAAATCTGTCTCACTCCCAGGAGAAGAGGTAGAAGGGACCCAAAGGTATAAGGAACAGAATCAAAGGAACCCTGAATGAGGCTGTAGAGAGAAAGGGAGTGTGGGTTCGTGATTGTCATCTTCTATGGGGAAGGGGTGGGGGGAGTATAAACGAGCAAGGTTTTTCAAGAATAAAATCCAAACCAGAGCGAACAGTACATAGTTAAGTGAAAAAGATCTCCCTCCATTTGATCTGGGTTGGTATACTCAGTTTTTTTAGCCGGAGGTTACAGTCATTACTAATTTGTGTCCTTCCAGTTTTCTAGTGCATTTACAAGTACGTCTATCAACACAGACTTTTGTATATTTAAAAAAAATGGTATAGCTCCCTACACCACCTTCCTCCCCCATTTATAGACATGCTCTGGGTGTAAATGTGGGGAGGGGAAAGGCTGTCTCCGTTCCCTAGATGCTGGTTTCTTCGGGACAACCTCCCACTGGGGCGCTCGCGGGTGTGAAGGGGACAGCTGGGTCCCCGCTCTCGGGCAGACCCCGGCGGCCCCCGGCCGCGCCGCACCTGTTGCCGCGGGGAGGCCCGGGGCGAGCCGGCAGCGCCCGGGCCACAGGAGAAGCGCCGCTCGGGGCCCGGCCGCAGGGGAGGGCGGAGCTCGCACTCACCACGCGCTTCTGCGGCTTGATGAGGGGTCGGCTGAGGCCGTTCATCTTGCTGTAGAGGCCGCAGGCGTTGCACAAGTAGTGGCCGGTGCCGTCCCGCCGCCAGAGCGGCGTCTGGATGGAGCCGCAGTTCACGCACTCACGGCTCTCGGGCAGGTCCTCCAGCAGGTCTGCGGCGAGAGCGGGGACAAAAGACCCGGTGAGGCGGCGCCGCTCCCGCCCCTCCCCGGGCTCCCCGGAAGACCCCTGGCACCCCTGGCCCCAGTGCTGGCGACGTGCTGCCCGCCTCCCGGCCCGCGCCCTTCCCCACGATCTTTCTGCTGCTCAGCAGTCAAGCTAGGAGCCGGCCGTTGTCGCTATCGATCTGCTGAGCGTTTGTCGAATACTTCTGCAGCCCCGAGCGCGCCCAGTAAAACCCCAGGAAAGTAGCAGGAGATGATGCTGGAGGCCGAGCCCGAATCATCTGCCTTCAGTCTCCAAGGACCTCGGATCTGAGATGAGCTGTGGGAAGTCGGTTTGGGTCCCCTGACCCCTCCTTTCCGGCTGTTCCCAAGCGTTTCAAAACTGAAATCCATCATAATTACAGTGTGCCACTTGCCAAGCAGAGCAAACCATACAATATCAACACTGATCACTGACCCCTACACCAAACCCACAAATATCCTGGGACACAGTCGGGCTACCTTATTACTTTTATCCCAAGTAATTAGTCACCCTTTTCTCCAATTTAAAAAAATGGACAAGGGAAATTAGAAATACTGTTCTTGGGCAAGTGCTAGAAAGTGACTCAGGTCTCCCCAGGGCAAAAAAAGCACCAACATTAACAAGCACAGAGATATTAAGTTTTCTTTTCATGCTACAAGGACCAAACGCTAAAATATTTTGAGTTCCACATGGGTCTGACTGCTTCTATCTGCAAAATTTCTACAACAGTTGATATTTTATTGATTCAGAACATTACTAAAACCGTCTCGGTGCGCAATAAAACTGTTTCATATTTTCATACACTAAACTTCAATTTATGCAATCTACCTAAATTGTGTTTGTGTCACTTTGCTATTTGATTAGTTTTTGGTGTTTACAGCCTAAACCTGTTAATAAGAAAACAAATCTCGAGTAAATGGTTGTAACATTTATTACTTCCGCTTAAATTTGTTAAATATAAACGAATAAATACTGTCTAAAATGAGATAGGTACTAATTAAGTACTTCTAAAATAGACTTCGTAAATTAAAAATATCCTTCTGTTTAGGGTTACTTATAGAGGATTTAAACGTCCAAATTTGGCTTGCTTTAAGAAACATTTCTGAATTTTTAAAGTAAATAAACATTACATTTTTAAAGCTTTATTTGAAGATGTGTGCTAACAAACCTTTCTATTCTTTCTCATTCCCGAGCAATTTACAGCTTGTTTCTACCATCAACTACTTGTTGTAAAGATATTTAAATGTGTCTTTGGCGTGAATACTCTAGTTCCATTAGTACTATTTACCCTACAAAACAGGTCTCCTTCCTCTCCTTCCTCCTCAAGAATTAAGTTTAAAGGAAACTACCATCCAACATAACTGGAGTTCAAAGTTGTCACAGGGATACCGCAACTTACAACACATCACAAAGATTTATTCTTCTCCACCCTAAAAGCCACTATTGACTACGGTAATCAGTAAAATGCTCAGGACTTCAAGGACACTGAAGTTAAACAAGGTATTTGTCTTAGTTGTTGACTTTAAAATGTTACCTATCAGAGACCCTCTCGATAGAGGAGTGGGGCATTCCCTGGAGAACCCAGCCCTATGCCTGGCCTCCTTCCCCCAGGCGGGAAACAATAAAGACTCCCTAGAGAAGACAGTGTGAACTCTCCAGGTAAATCTCTTTAGTCATCTGAAAACCCAAAGACAAAACTTAAGTCCACTTTGGATAAATAAAATTTAGGAAGTTTGCTTATGTCTAATTAAATCAAATCTCCAGCTCCCATTTTCTCCCTACTGCTTACCCAGCAGCTACAATCCTACAACGGACTAACGTAAGAAAAACTTTAACAATTAGGAAACCTAATTGTGCTGAACCTTTGTTCATCAGTTTCCCCCTACTCATCATCACCTCCAAACATGACTGCTTTGGGTTCCCCTGTAGAAAATAAAAAGCTCTGGGGAGAAGGGCACGGCCAGCAAATGCCGTCCCAGGACCCGAAGAATGGAACACAGTTTAGCGGGAGCTTAGGAGAGCGCTGGGCTCAGGGACTCAAGCGCTGTGAAGACTCACCCCAGGACTCCCTCCCATCCACCCACCACCAGAGAATCAGGGAGAGGTGTATGGAGCAGGTTCCTGGAGGCCTCCACACTGTGTACGTTGAAAAAGCTCAGTGCTCAGGTTTTAGCCCTGCTGTTTGCCCAAATCAATTAAAGAGTGCCTTCAAAAATGGTGTTGTTTTTTTTTTTAAACAAAGTGGAGAAGGAGGGAATCTAGCTAAGAAGCTGGGAGGAGAGGGGTTGGAGGTCAAGGTTTCTCTACCCTGAGAACACCTCTTGAGGACAACCACAATTAGGTCTTTTGCCTCCCCCACCCCCAGACTGGTGGATTCTCAGTAGCTTCCTGCCTTCTTAAAAGACTCTATGCAAAAGCTGGGTGTTCCCAAGCCCCTTCCCATTGTTTTTTTTTTTTTAACATACTCTGGAATACATTAGACTTTCCTAACTTTGCAATGTCCTATCTAGAAGGTGAAAAGTTGGTAAAGAATAAGCTAGGTTTAAAATGAAATTTGTAACTCGCCTGCAATGGAACCCTCCTGCCTCTGAAAAGATTTTTTATACAAAACAAGTTGCGTAAACATTGGAACTCTGATGTCTTTTGGGACTACTCTTTCTCAGTCCTGTGAAATGCCGAAGACTGGAGGAGAGGGATCTGTAGACCACACTAAGGTGTGTCCTGAAACAGGTGGAGCTGCAGGATCTCGCTCCAACGGGAGCTGCCCCCTACTCACAGGCCCTTTTGGATTCCCTGCTGGATTCCTGACTGACAAAAGCCTCACCCTAACCCTTCCCATTCTCTGAAGATTCCTCATCTCTCAGTCTCTCAGCTCCAGCCAGGGAACCAGCCATGGGTCCCTATGCTACACAACAGGGTGACAGTGCTCTGTTCTCAATTACTCAACAGGGTCCTCCACACCCACTCTACACGATGTTGAAGATGGTCTCCAGGGCCAACTTCACAGAGGGAAGAAGAGGGAATTCTGAGACCAGAATCTTAGGAAGTAGAGATACCAAAAGCCTGTTGTCCCCCCTCCCAGTGTTACCAGGAGGTCTGTTCAAGTCACATCCTTCCCTTTCGGGCCACTGGTATTTCCAGTATGTCTTTTGAACACAAGGCTGGCAACTCATCACTTCATCCTACTAGTTAGGGCCCCTGAAAGATCTCGTCCCAAAACGGAGCACTGAGGCTGGGAGGAGCCCGGACCTGGAATGTGAAGACACCAGGTAGGATAATTTAGGCTGACCCATGTCTCTTTGCCACCTCTGACTCTCACACCTCCCCCCAAACAAACAGCCCCTGCCCCCCCCCCAAAAAAGGGTTTGTCTTAGGAGTCTGTCAGGTTATCAAACGGGTTAAATACAAAATTAAGAGACCCACGAAAGCACGTAGAAGGACCAAGAATGCTGCAGCAGCCGAAAAAAGAAGTCCCAGACACAAGAGTTCATGACCGCCTTTGCTTGAGCAGAAAACGTTTTTCAAAATGGGGTGTTTCCAGGTATTTTGACAATTGTGTTTTCCCAGTTCACTCCACATTGCTCCCAAACACTGGAAAGTATGGGTGGCATGGAAAACTTGAAAAAACTGGTGGACTGAACTCTGGAGGAAGAACTGATGATGTGGGACCTCCAGGATCCCTGGATCCCAGCCTGGCAGGGGCCAGCAGCCGCACAACTCCAGACACCTCGGCCCAGTTGATGTCAAGCAAACGGGCCCCTCCACCAGCTTTCCCTCGGCATAGTCACGAGGCTGACCAGTCCAAATATCCGCCTTAGCTCCTTTTCCACCGTGGATCTCTTAAATACTCTCCTTGAGAAAAACACAATTCCTCACCTCTGGAGAGTTGAACTGGGTGAGACTGTATTTGAGGAGAGGATGAATCAAGTGCCCAGCATTCTCCTAATTTACCCCCCCCCCCCAACAGAGTCTCATCCTTCCACTTAGGCAAATTAGGCTCGGTGACAGGTCTCGGGGCCCTATCAGTTCCTTCCCAGGATCTTTTGCTCCAATTTACCCACCCCATTCACTGTTCAAGTCCCTTGAGCTTCTCCAAGGCACTGAGACCTATACGCGCCCTAAGCCTGGAAAAGAACTGAAAAGAATCCACAAAATAAAGCACCTCATCAACACTGCCAGACTCTGGGTGGCCCTGCCAGGGTTCTGCAAATCCTCCCTGGGGCCGGGCCGACCTCTAGGCACCCCGACAGAAAAACCGTAAGAACGAAGCCCGAGTCAACTAGCTGTTCCACACCCCCGTACACCCCAGCGCCTCAGGCCCCCACTCCCACGCGGCGGCGCACCCCTTACCTGCGCTGGGGCCCCGTGGCACCGGGAGCGGGGCTCCGGCGCGGCTCTGCAGGCTGTGCAGCACTGGGGTCTCGAAGGGTCCTGCGGGCCAGGCGGGAGTCAGCGGTGCACCCACGTAGGGGGAGTAGGGGTTCGGGTGGTGGTGATGGTGATGGTGGTACGTTCCGTTCAGCGGCCGCGCGGCCGACAGCGAGCTGTACTGGTGCTCGCGGGCGCCCATGGCCGCCAGGCTGCTGCCTCCGCCGCCGCTCACGCCGCCCGCTCCCCCGCCACCAGCTGCGGCGTAGCCCCCGGGGTCCCGCGCCGCGCCGTTAGCCATGGGCGGGCTGGGCGAGTAGGGGAAGCGCGCGGAGACGTGCGCAGAGGCCGAGCCGGCGCTCCCGGGCCCCGCGGCCCCGCCGCCGGCCGCGCCGCCTCCACTGCCGTACGGGGGGCTGTCGGCCGAGGCTTGAGGCCAGCCAGGGTGCGCGCCTGCACCGCCCGCGTGGTTGGCGGGCCCGCTGCCCGCCCCCTGCAGGTACGGCAGGCCCGGCAGCATGGAGCCCACGCGAGTGGTGGGCACGTAAACCGGGGAGCTGGCCGCGGCGGCGGCGGCTGCGGCGGCGGCTGCAGAATGCACAAAACCGCCGGGCGCGCCGTCGTAAGCGGCCGGCCCCTGGCTGGAGAGGGCGGCGAGGGTCTGGTACATCTCCTCGGGCTGCTCGGGTGCGAAGGGGCTCAGCTTGGCGCCGCGGCTGGACCACAGCAGCTTGCTGGCGGTCGCGGCCTGGTCGAGGTCAGTGAAGAGCAGTAGGTCCTCCCAGCTCGACAGGGCGCTCCCGGGGCCAGCGACCCCGGGCGCCGAAGGTCCGTGGGGAGCCCCAAAGGGATGCGAGGCGTACGGGCTGAGCAGCAGCGAGCGGGCCGGGGGTCCCGCCGCCGCCTCCGTGTCGAGCTGCGGCGTCCTGCAGTTGCTGGCGCCGCCGGGGCCACGCTCCCCACCCCGGGAGCAGCAGGAGGAGGAAGAGGAGGAGATGGGGGAAGGCGGCGTGGAGGGCTCCCGCGCTGGAAAGGCTCCGGAGTCGCTGGCGTCCGCAGCCGCGGCCCCGAAGCGCTTCGGCAGGCACCAGCCGCCGTCAGTCAAGGCCATCCACGGTCCGGCGCCTCTCCAAGCTAACTTCTAGCTCCTGAGGCGGGGTGAAGGGAGGCAGGGACGGGAGGAGAAAATCAAGAAGGGTTAACAAAAGCGCAGGCCGCACAAAATCTCACTCCCACTGCCTTTTCTATTCCTCAAATATCGCATTTCTGCCCCAGGCGCGGGAGTGGGGTAAGGAGAAGGGAACGGAGCCTGGGTAGCTGCCGCAAGGTCCTCCCAGGACCGGGATATCCGCCCTCCCTCGCCTGCACCACCCGGATTCCCTCGCCTTCCCGCCCACCCCTCCGCAGCATCCTCCATCTGCGCGCGCCAGGTCCCAGGGGTGACGGTGAGACTGAACAAGGTTTTCCTTCCGCCCCCAAAGTGGCTCCCCCTCGGCCGATGACACACAAAAGAATTTTTTTAAGCAGCTGTGCTTGTCGGCGCTGCCTTCTCCCGCCTCCCTACGGGTGCCCCCCGCCCGGAATGCCTCGGTGTGAGGTCTGCCCGCGCGAAAATCATTAGCTTAAGGAAGGCAACCTGTCCCCGAAAACGAAACCGCCGCGTTCTCCCACACTGGCTTTCCCAGAGTTTCCCGGACTGCGGTTGACGGAACGCGAGTTCCAGAGAAGTGCAATTCAGCCCAGGGAAGGTGGGGCGCCGAGGCGGAGACCACAGTCTCTGACCTTCCGGGCCCGGGCACTGCTGGGTGCCCGCGGGGCCGCAGTCTCACGCCCAACCCTCCTCCCCGTGGCGCCGCACACCTTCGACAAGGCTCGTGGCTGCAGCCACCAGCGCGTGCGCTCACGCCGGCTGGGCCACCCCCGCCCACCCCGAGATCTTCCCCAGCCGCGGAAAGGCCGGACCGTTCCGGAATCGGACGTAGCGGGGTGGAGCGGATCGCAGAGAAAAGGAGGAGGGGGAAATGCGGGGGGTGGGGGGGGGGCGTGAGACCGCCCTGGGGCCGAGGCCACCCCAAAGGGGAGAGCAAGAAGAAAGACGGGGAGACTCGGAGGGAGTGGGGTAGGGAGGCAAAATGCAGCCGGACGGGCCTGCTCCGAGCTGCTTTTCCAAATCGCTTCGGCTCCTTGGAGATAACCATACTAAAATTAATACCCACACACAGACCCGGACTAGATAGCAAGAAAGAAGTCTCTCTGCCCGCCTGACTGCCGGCTCCCGCCCCTTTGCGCCAGATAACTCGGAGATAAGGTTGCGCGCAGATAAGCGCTTCAGGGAGAGGAAGAAACAGCAGAAGTTGGTCCGCGGTGTCCCGGGAACCTGGGAGCCGCTACAGCCAGCCGCGAAAGGAGGAGGGAGACACCCTCAGAGCCGACGGGGCCCGCAGAGGGCCGGATGGCCCGGGGCGGAGGGGCTCGCGACGGGGTGAGGGTTTGAGGGAAGGAAAGAGGGGAGCCCGAGCAAGCGAGAAAGCAGCCGAACCTCGGGTGCGCGCTGCGCATGGAGAACTGCGGCGGCGGAGACTGCTCTAGACCGAGGAGAGAGGTTGTGGGCGCCGGCAGGCGAGCGCGAGTCCGGGGTCTGCGCGGCGCTGCTGGTGAATAAAAAGGAGAGAGGAGGCGCCTCTTACTGCTCTGCCGGAAAACTGCAGCCTGCGCTCCTGATTGGATTCACCGAGCCCTAAACAAACAGCGCTCGCCGAAGGGTGCCAGGCTGTGGGTCGGAACTGCGCTGTGCGAGCAGCTGGGCGCTGGAGGTGAAGAGGAGGAGGAAGAGGAGGAGGAGGAGGAGGAGGAGGAGGAGGAGGGAGCGAGGGGAGGAGAGAAAAGAGGGTGGGGAGGGGACCGCGGGCGGCGGGGGGAGGGGAGCGCGCCACCCCAGCAGACAATGAGCGCCGCGCAGCCTGCGGGTGTGGGCCGAGCTGCGAGTACCTTCCTGGGAGGGGGCCAGTCCATCGAGGGGGCGCCGAGCCCTGGGACGCCCGGGGAGGGGCGGAGGTGGCGGAACGCTTGACCTGGCTGGCGACCCACACCCATCCGGCGGCGCAGCACTTTCCTCCGCCCCCAGTTACACACGCACTCACGGGGGCGGGGGCCCCCCCCCGATCTGGCACGAGAGTAGTTGGCTGTGCACAGCCCTGCGCAGCCACCGCGGCGGGAGGGACGCGCCAGCTTTCGGGTCAACGTGCCCCCAGAATGAGGGGGAAAGTGCTTTGCTCCGCGGGCCTTCCCCGCTCCTTCATCCACGTTAGAAGAGCATTATGCTCTGCCTTTGTATGTGAACTACCTTAAACTTTGCCCAACCTCTAATCGAGACCCTCGGGCTCGGGTCCTGGTGACTGTCGGGGATCGAGGCTCCAAAGATACGGAAAAGAAGGAACTCAGGTGCCCAGCTCCCTATCTCTGCCCTGCTTTTTAGAAACAGACTAAATCCCTAGGAGGTTTCGGGAAGTTCACGTCGACACTCACCAGCTAACCTTTGGGAACTTTCAGTTCGGGGTCGCGGTATATGTAAAGGCTAGTCCCCGAAGGTGCGCGTAATGAAAAGGGCTTTCACCCCAGTTGCGCCCCAAGATGCTTTCCAAGTTTTGGTGTCCCGTTTGCTCTGAGCTTATCCTGGAGAACTTCAGGTAAGTCTCGGATAAGGCGTTGGAAAGGGGGGGAGGGGGTGCACCTTCCCTGGACCCAGCGGGAAATACCGCTTCCCCACCCCCACCCTCACACACCCCTTCTTCGCTCCCTCCAAATGGTTATCACAACTGTGTACAAACTGATACGGTCCTGAGCCGGCAAAGGGACTGGAAATGAACGTCGCGAGGTTATCAGCGCGGATCTGTCAGCAGCGAGGCGCGCGGCCGCAGGTTCGTCCGCCGCAGTAGCGGTGATCTATGTCTCGCTCCCTTTCACTCACAAAAAGATTTCTTCCGACAGACGTGACCCCAGAAGGCCGCGGAGAGAGAATTTTAACTAGGGCAGGAGGAGTTGCTTTGTGAGGATGGATTTTACAATCCCCCCCCCCCAGGTAAATCGAAGTAAATGATTTTCCAAAGGTCAGTCTCCCTGAAAGTATTTGGGCTCCTTTGTATGTGTGTGTTTTTCCAGTTGGGGAAGGGAGAGGAGCCTAAGCAGAGTTGAACCGGCGTAGCTAGGGACATTGTAAAATAATGATTTTTGAGAGACTGTGAGACCTCATCGTTAAAAGTATGTTTCCTCTCAATATAATTGTGAATGTGAGCTTGTGTATCTTAGGGGGAGAAGGGGACAGGACCTGGCAGTGAGGGGAAGAGCGCTGAATTGAAGAAGTTGGCGAGAATTTTTTTTTTTCATTCTTCGTTGTAAATCGCTGCTAAACGCTTCTGAATTTTAAATTGCTACTAGGACGGTCCATAAACCGTTCTTATCCAATTTAGTCACTTTTATTACATTCCTCTTTGCTTCCCCCAATCACTGTGGCGGCCCCCAGTTTCAGTGTGGCCACAGTTGGGGAGGAGTGAAGGTAGAAAACTCTGGAACAGAGAGATTGGCGACCAGAGCAGGACTCAGGGCTTTAAAGTTTAACCTAGGTTCGATCGAATGGTACTAGCAAAAGAGATGACCCGGCGTCCGCCTCCCACTTAACTCCGACCACAGCTTCCAAAGCCTTTCTCTTTTGGGTTTTTCGTGAGTTCCGACCAAATTTTGAGTTTTTCAGAAGCTCATTTGTAAGCAGATACAGAAACGTTGTGGACGTTTGCCTTTCTTTTGAGTCCAACTGTTTCTGAAATGCTTTTCAGTTTTATTCTTAAAAGCAGTTTTTTTTTTAATTCATATCTCAGTGAGGTGATTTCCAGTGGAGACGAGTTTTGTTTTTTGTTTTTTGTTTTTAATCCTCTAAGTTAGATTCCACGCTGTGAACGGCCTCCAAGCCTTGAGCCCTTGAGGAGACCTAGCCCCGAACCTGGTTCCTGTTGTGTGTGTTTCTTTATATTAGCAAGTATGAAGGTGTCTGTGTGAATTTCCTTGGACAATAGCTAAAGCCCCAGGGACGTGCTTTTCCCGCAGCTCCACAGCAGCTGCGAGCGGTGCGCTGGCCCTGGCACCGCTGGGAATGAGGTGAGCAGCGGGGCAGACACTGACCACAGCATGCGGCTTCTAAGGGCTCAAGAGGGGACCCGGCATTTTACCATCCAGATTCCCAATCTCTCTTTAACACTGCCTAAAACAAGAGTGGGAGGTTGTAATTTGCTCCTTTCCACAGTCACAATTTTTTAGATTGGTTTTCCAACTAAAGGAGAGAATGGATAGTACAATGTTTTTCTTTTCAGTTAACTTAAAAACAAAACTGTTTAACCCGCAGAGTTTCTTCAGACAGAAAGGCAAGGAAGCCTGACCCATCCAGTTTATCATTTTCCCAATGCACTGGATTTGGCCCTGGGGAAAACTTCCACTCCCAGATGGGAGCGGCACATTTTCAAAGCTACCCCCTAGGGGTTCCCAGGTCCCGTGCTCTGAGTTTCCTTTGAGCACCCCAGCTAGTCCGGGAAGGTGGGGAGAATAGGGGACGCGGAGAGAAGTGTACCCTTAACCAGGGAGGAACCCAAGAACTGGAGAAGTCCCCCGTAGTTCCCCAGTAAATAGGCTCATAAAAGTTCTATTTTCTTCGTGTTTTTTTTTTTCTTTTCCTTCTGCCTGTCTCCTTTGAGGGGCGGGGGGGGAGGTTGCTAATCTTAAACGAAATTATTTCTCTCCCGACTATTTAGACAAAAGGAGTGGCCCCTCCGGAGTGAGCCTTCCGTCCTCGAGCCGCCCTCCTCATCCTCGAAGAGGTGCTGGCTCTGGGGCGCGACCTGCCCCCAGGGCTGATTTATTTGGGGCGCGCCACACTACTATTCCCGATTCGAATCCAGTCAGAATAGAACAGCCAATTGGGCAGGGGGCAGAGTCTTTGTTGCCAAATGCGAAGGGATGTTTGGGGACCCGGTCGCGCTCTGCTTCCAGGGGAGCTGCGAGACCCGGGCGAGGACCCGCATAACGACACGCCTTTACCCCTGCAAACTTAAGCCCCTTACGTTGTCAATTCCCAAAGCTCCCGGCTGCTCCAGCGACGTTTCAGAAAGAATACAATTTCTGACTTAAAGTTTTAAATTGAGAGTTTTTACAAAGCCAGATCTCTAGGGCCTTCTCGCCTATACCGGATTTCTTCCTGTCCCTGGGAAGGCTTTGCCGAAGGACAAGGGTCACCCCGGTGCCCCCCACCCCAGCCATCCTCCCGGCCCAATAGGCGAGTCGGGGCGGCCTGTCCCCCGACTCAGCGGCTGTCAACCCAATGCAGTCGCGTCCAGAGAGCCCGGACGGTGTTTGGGCCCACGTGGGGGAGGGCGGGTTGTTTTGTTCTATTTTTTTTAATTCTCGAAAGCCCAAAAATACTCGTTAGAAATGTCAGGTGGTGGCGGCGGAAGAGCGAAAACTGCGCAGCCTAGAAAACTGGGCCGCCGCCCCCCCTCCCCCGGCCCGGCTCCCCGCCCCCTCTTCCCGCCGCCGGTCACTTCGGGTAAGGAACTCGCTGCGCCAACGGCGGGCCCGGGCGGTCGGCATCAAGTACCGGCGCCCGGCGGCTGCAGGCGGGCCTCCGCCGCCCCCGGCCCCGCAGTCCCGGGCCGCCCCCCGCGCGCCGCCGGCGGCCGCCAGCGCGGCGCGGAGGTGGGCTTGCTGCGGCGGCGCGCGAGAGGTCACCGCGGTGGCATTCCTCCCCGCGCGCTGTTTACGTGACTTAATGTACTTCATACGCCGCGGGTAAGTTAGGGCCGCGATAAGGGGGCGGCCGGAGGAGGGTCGCTGTAAAAGCCCCACGCTGGGCGCCTTCTAGCCCTCCCCTCATCCATTAACCTTTTTACTTTCTTCTTCCCTCTCTCTTTTAAAGCTTGTTATCTAGGCCACCCATGACCGACGAAAGATCTTCCCTCTCGGCTTCTCCCAAGGCCGCTTTAAACCAAATAAATTTAGCTATTAAGGGCCAAGATGTCTGACAAAAGATCGAAAGGTGTCTATCCGTGATCGCTTAAAGAAGCGAAGGAGAAGCTGGTGGTTCTCTGATCCCGATAAAGGCATTCCACACGGCGCCGGCCTCCCTCCCCGCGGCCTGGTTGAGTCCTGACACCCTGAGATCTCCGCTTCGCTGGCCAGCTCTCCACCGGCCGGGCGAGACCTGCCTCCGTTGCCCTGGGAATGTGGAGGTCCTCAGGCGACGGGGCCTGGGCGTGCCAGGCCCCGGGGTCCTGGGCGCCGTGGAACTCCAGGCCGGACGGGGCTGGACTCCCAAAACAGACCCCCTGCACTTGGCAGAAAAACTAAACCGAGCTCATTAGGGCCTGAATTACTATCCCTTTTATATTATTTTTTGATGCTTGATAATTAAACTCGAGTCAATCCAGCCCTACCTTCCCACCCTCACTCCCTGCGGGCTTGCCGAGGGTCCTCGTTACTCCACATCGCTGGTCGTCGGGAACAGACCTTCTTTTGAACCCGGGTCAGAACCTGGTGGGTGGAACTGGGCAGCTAAATCAGACTGAGG